AATTACATTTCGTTTCGGGACAAAATAGGCATCAAATTGTGCTAGAACTGTCTCATATTCTTCTTCTTCGCCTTTCTCAAGTCTAAAGGTTTTATAGACGTGTTCTGCTTGCTTTCCCATCGAGTATATAAGCGTGCTGACTTGAATTTCATTGTCTTCTTTGTTTAACTTCGTCGCTATTCTATAACGCTGAAAGCGCTGTTTCCATTCAGTTGTGGCTTAGCAAATTCGAAGTTTTCAGGCACGTTTATCTTCAACATATTAAATATCCCACTCCTGACACCACGTTTTGAAACATGAACCCGTTCGTATATATACTTTATTAAACTGAACCATATTCCTAAGTACACAAGCTACTATATACCTGTGGTATGCCCACAGTCTGCATTGCTAATTACTATTTACTGAATTACAATATTCTAATTATAACAGGAAGGTCAATAACTGTACTATCAAAAGCCATTTAAGACAACAAACAAAAGACTAAGATTACTTAGCTTGTAAGGCTATGGATATCAAAATAGTGCATTAAGATCCTGCAGATTCTTTAGCTTGATAAAACTTTCGTTCTCTGACTTGCGTAGGTAGATCGTATTGTTTTTTGCCCAACAAAATTTGAAATGATTTGCCCACTGATATTTCTTTGCTTCATATAAAAGCTCTTGCAGCCGAGGGGTGAGGTGATCGTAGATTCTAATGCTTGGTTGCAGATCATTTGCATTCTTTCTTGCGGCCATTACGTTCTCCCGTGCTAGGCGTCTGACGAATTTACAAATAATCGCGTTGTTGTTGTTGTCGGGATTTCGCGATGGCACTCGATGGGCAATGTCTATATCTTGTAAAAGGACTTCAGCACCGATTTTACGAAATATTTCGAGGCATAGCTTTGAGGTTTGCTCTGCCGTCTCCGATTGTTGCTCTTGCGGGACGCCAATAATCTTCACATTTTATTGATAGCTATATTCCTCAAGCTGTTCGATAGAATTGGCAATCTTTTCACATTTTAATGATATTACATTGACTTCGGATTTAATTTGTTTCAATTCAGTGATCGTATTAGTTTTAAACAAGACAAGCTTGTCATACTTGGCGCTGATAAACTCTACGGACTTATCCTTCTCTTTATCCAACATGCTTGCAGTGTGGCCACTATGATGAGTCCCTTCTGAATTTACGTTTCTTTGAGAAATGTTTTCAGAAATTTGGTTAATCTTGCTTTGTAGTTTATCAATCTCTAGACGAAGCTCTGCATTTTCCTTTTTAAGCGTTTTAGTAGCTGCCATTGTTGCTATAATATTGATTTATACGGAACTCTAAAAAGCACGTCCTAACTCCACGACCTTAAGAATTCTATAAGGTCATGAAATAAGGTCATGAAACTTGAAAAGTTGAAGTTGAATGAAGAGAGGGTTAGTATGATCCTGATAGTTCGAAAATGTTATTTAAAGAATCACTAATTTACCTCATTACCCATGCATACGCTTTTGTCTTTAGTTGAAAACAAAGGATTTCTTTGTCTTCTAATTTTCCCCTGCATATTTGACGAGGGAAAATAAGTGAATAATATAAATTAATAAGAATATCCATGGTCACAAAATTACATATTTTTGAAATAGCTCCAATATATTGCCTTTTTTTACCTTTTTGGAGATTTCTAAAACCTGAGCTTTAAAGTTTAGGTTAGCATCTATCACTACACCCAAATATTTGAAATTAGATGTTTGTTTCAATAATTTATTGTTAATTGTTAATTGAATACTGGAAGAAATTTTCTTCTGTGGAGGGTGAAATATAACAAAGTTTGTCTTATAGATGTTGAGCAACAATTTGTTTACACAGAGCCATTTATTTATATGCTCAAGTTAACTCTTTATAGTAGATTCAAGAATTGATAGGCTTTTATTATCAAATAATAAGCTTGAATCGTCAGCAAAAAGATAAAAGTCATGAATTCTGGAGGAATTACAAAAATCATTTATAGAGATTAGAAACAGAAGTTGGCCAAGGACAGAGCCTTGCGGTACACCGCATGTAATCGGCATTAAAGATGATCTCACAAACTGTTGTCGATTCTCTAGATACGGATTGGAACCATTTAAGTGCCACACCTCATATACCATACCATTCAGGTTTTTGTAATAAAATATGATGATTAACTGTATTAAATGCTTTCGACAAATCAAGGAATACAGCACATGAATATTTACCATCATTGATAGCTTTCTGTATCTTATCAACTATTGATAAAATTGCATGCAATGTAGAATGATTTGAACGATATTTTTCAACAAAGCTTGACAGACGTTTAGACACAATTCTTTCAAGAATCTGGTTAAAAATAGATAGTGAAGATATAGGGCGATAATTGTCTAAGATTAATTGTGAGCCTTTTTTTATGTACAGGAATGACACTAGCCAGTTTGAATTGGCTAGGTACAATACCAGTTAAAAGACAACAATACCAGTTGAAAGACAACAATTTTTTCTGTACACAACACGGACACAGAAAAAATCATATTACTAGATTACATTGGTATGTAAGGAACTAGATTCTGTTTCGTAATATCACTTACTCAAACCTACCTGACCGCGTAGCTCAGTTGGCAGAGCATTGGGCCAGCACCCCAAAAGGTTGTAGGTTCGATTCCCACCATGGTCAGGCACACCCCCAAGCCCAGTCAGGGGCAGATCCAGCTAAAAATCTGACCGCAGCACAATCCCAAACTGAGGAGGCACTACATAATGGAACATTTTTGGAATTTGAAGCCCGGAAACATTTTTGAGCCTGGAACATTTTTGAAATTTGAAGCCCGGAAACACCATTTCCTGCATTCTGAGCATCAAATTCTGTTCTAAAATTTGACTTCAGTAAGGCCATATTTTAGACAAAAAGTTACAAAAACACTTAAAGACAGTAAAATGGTTAAACAACATACCAAGTCATATCAGATCTACATTCTTAATTACTGTATGCAAAGTTTAAGACCAGCCTTCCTCCCCATATTAATATGTAATTTAATATCCATACCGCACATGTGTAACATATATAAACACAATTACGATCAATGCATAAAATCAATGGGCAGAACGGTATATAATGCAAACAGACACATTTATATACTGAAAGAAACCTTCTGATTAACAGAGATTCAACTCCTTAAATATACAAGCCAAATGTTGAGGTTTTGCTTGTATTTTTGAGTTACGGTAATTCAGTATAAAACGTACCCTATCTCTCAATCCGAAGCTTTTTGTTGTTATCATTTACCAGTGTGGAAAGTTTGTATCGCACGGTGGAAATATCGGACGCGCAATTTTGATGCAATTTCCAAACACTGGCACAGAGCGTTTACATTTATATTGTTTATTAATATATTCTAATATTCATAAGACTCATAAGCTTACCTGACCCAAGCGTGGTTGACCCGAGCGTGGTTCAACGAGCGCGCTCTTTCACCGTTTCGAATTGTAATTTCGAAAAATCACACCCAAATACCTCACGATCTTTCAGGCGATCGGCTTTAATTTTGCTCCTGATGGCATACTCACATAGCGCTTTAGTCTACTTAGTTTTTCTTCAAAAGAAATTGGGTCGGTAAAGCGCAAACAAATATAGCCAAATAACATCGCTCTAAAGTTCCTATCGAATTGCGCAACTGTAGCTGACTGTAGCACATTGCAGCACTGTGATTGGTTTGCTTCATCTGACTGTAGCAAAAATGCTAAATTTAGTAACTTGTCCCCTCGCCGACTGCAGCATTTTGACGTAAGACCCCCAGTTGACTGTAGCATTTTGACGTCATAAATCACTATATTTAGAGACCACTTTTCTGAATGCTTTTTGAACGATGTTTAAAAAATTTAGGTGATTTCCCCTAAAAGCGGGCGTTGTTTCGGGTAAAATTCAGGTTAAGATAAGCGCGTAAAAACGTAACTTAATATTCGTAGCTCACAAAAAACATACGGACATCTGGTTGAAGATGCGGAAGTTAATTTTTAGTGCAGAGTTTCTTTGAAACTGTGCACTATTGTGATGACTGGGAAAATTCACATCAGTCAGTCAGTCAATCAATCATAGAGTTAACTTTCCGGGGGGTGTATAATGTGTATACGATTTATGTTTGTAGTGATTTATTGTGCTTTGAAGGTTATTTAGGCAAGTTCAGTTGTTTTATTTAAATATTCTTTTGTTCTTTTGCCAAGTTCACAAAAATTTCGAGGAATCGTTGTCGTTATTGTAAATTTTTGTAAATTTTATAACATTCGCTTCTCATGTTGTGTGAAGGATCTTTCCCCCGGAAAACCCATTTTTTTCTTTAGCAACGCAAATGCGCATGCGCTATCAAGCCGTAGGTCACGATGGCGTGACGATGCTAGGAAGGAGCGCTGGAGCGACACAGTGTTGTTTTCAAGTTATAAACATTTTAGATGTGAATACTGAGTAAATCTTTGAGAATCTACGCAATATATAAATCGATGTTATGCATTACGGACATTCAATTAAGTATCGATATTATTTTGAGGGTATATTCATTGTACAGAGCTAGGAAGCAGCGAGACAGTGTTGTTTTCAAATGTATGAACATTTCAGACATGTCAGTATTATATTGAGAAAATCTTTGAGATACTACGCAATATATAAATTGATGTTATGTACTTATGCATTACGATTTACGGGCATTCAAGTGCCGATATTATTTTGAGGGTACTGTATTGTCATATACATTGTACAGAGCTAGGAAGCAGCGAGACAGTGTTGTTTTCAAATGTATAAACATTTCAGACGTCTATTATATTGAGAAAATCTTTGAGATACTACGCAATATATAAAATTGATGTTATGCATTACGGGCATTCAATTAAGTACCGATATTACTTAGTTTGACGGTATATTCATTGTACAGAGCTAGGAAGCAGCGAGACAAGTGTTGTTTCGAAATGTATAAACATTTCAGATGTGTTTATATTGAGAAAATCTTTGAGATACTACGCAATATATAAATTGATGTTATGCACGTAATTCCCCCTCCGAGTTTCAATTGAAAGAGCCTCTGGCAACCAGGGTAGCACGTAATGCATTCAAGTGCCGATATTAGTTTGACGGTATATTCATTGTGCAGAGCTAGGAAGCAGCGAGACGGTGTTGCTTTCAAATGTATAAACATTTCAAACATAAATATTGAGAAAATCTTGGTTTACGTGTCTAGCACAACGTCAACGGTGCAAACTCGTGTTCAGACTTCAGTGCAACGAGAACTCTACTAGATCTTACGAGAATCTATCTGTATCAAAGCTTGTCAAAACTGCTATAAACACTGCTATAACTGTGAAACCATTGAAATATTGATTACATGCGAAAAGCTGAAAATGAATCATGAACACAACGTGACCATAGATATAATAACGTGACCTTCAAAATAACTCAAAGGTCAGTGAGCTTGTTATTGTGACACGTCACAACTAGGTTAAAATGCGGAAGCGGATGCGAAACGGAGCGGATCCACGGAACGGATATGGAGATAAAATGCGGAACGGAACGGATAAATCCTCTTTTTTAGTGCAGAGTTTCTTTGAAACTGTGCACTGTTGTGATGAGTGGCGAAATTCACATCAGTCAGTCAGTCAATCAGTCATAGAGTTAACTTTCCGGGGGGTGTATTATGTGTATACGATTTATGTTTGTAGTGATTTATTGTGCTTTGAAGGTTATTTAGGCAATTTCAGTTGTTTTATTTAAATATTCTTTTGTTCTTTTGCCAAGTTCACAAAAATTTCGAGGAATCGTTGTCGTTATTGTAAATTTTTGTAAATTTTATAACATTCCCTTCTTATGTTTTGTGAAGGATCTTTCCCCCGGAAACCGCATTTTTCTTGAGCAACGCAAATGCGCATGCCCTATCAAGCCGTAGATCACGATGTCGTGACGATGCTAGGAAGGAGCGCTGGAGCGAGACAGTGTTGTTTTCAAATTATAAACATTTTAGACGTGAATATTGAGTAAATCTTTGAGAATCTACGCAATATACTGTATAAATCGATGTTATGCATTACGGGCATTCAATTAAGTACCGATATCATTTTGACGGTATATTCAATGCTAGGAAGCAGCGAGACAAGTGTTGTTTTGAAATATTGAGAAAATCTTTGAGATTCTACGCAATATATAAATTGATGTTACATTCTAGCAATATATTTTATTCTGATGGATGGAAGAGTAAGGTAGATAAGCAAAAGAGCTAAAGAGGAAAGTATTTCAAGAAAATGACGAGGTATTTAAATACCACCGATCGACATTCGACATGAATGTTTTTAGTTCGCTTCATTTCATATTCATGTCTTTTTTGACTAACAAAAAGAATCTATAAATCTGTGGCTGCTTTATAATTATATTTTATTCCAATACCCTTCTGCTTCAAACTATAATGTGTTCCTTACACGAAGTAGTTATGGGAACGCAGGCTCGGGTCAACAAGATTGGTGCAAATATAGTCACATGTTTTGTCGTTTGTGTCTTATATATATGTACAATTACACATGGTTGTTCTTTTTCGAAAAAGGCAGCAAGAGGGCATAGTTCGGGTTCGACGGCGAAGACAGCAAAAAATATGAAAAAGAAATCGTTAGAAAACACTAAAAAGGGTCCTGCAGTTGCAACTGCTGTGTCATTTGAAGATAGCTTTACTGCTGTTAAAGACGTGTTCTCTGCTAAGACGGGTGACAATGAGAACGCGGGAAAGGGAAGCGTAGTTAACGAACGAGGTGCAGAAGAGTCCTTGATTGCTTATGTGCACAAACTTTCGCCAATAAAGAAAAATAGACAGCAGACAATGGAGTACTCTACGTTAGTGTTACAGACTGAGAAAAAGAGTGTCCAAGCGTTGCTGTATGCCAACAAAAAAAGAGCAATACTCGCCGACAGCGCTCGTAGTCACACTCCGATTAAAATACAGCGATTCACGAAAACAGCCGATGGGGAAAAGGTGATCATCAACGAGATGACAAAAGTTGGCTTTGCTCAACAAGGCGACTATTCGTTTCAGTTCGAGGAACTTGACAACAGTTTGAAGATTTCGTCGATCAAGGAAATTTTAGAATCTCGTGAAGAGTGGGAAAACGTTTCTATGTGCGGTAAAGCAGTCCACGTTGGGGAGATGAGTGTGGTTGGAGCCAAAAAGTTGAAATTGGTTCAGTGCACATTTGCTGATACTACAGGATCAATCCAAGTGGACATCTGGGAAGACCATATTCCTCTGGTCGAAAGTGGGAAAGTATATACTATGGGAAATCTTCACGTGCGCGTATGGTCCGGGATTAAAAAGGTTAGCACTAGGATAGAATCTGTTATCACAGCGATGGTAGATGAAGATATCCAGAAAGTTTCTATCCAGAAGGAAGACATCCAGACCGATTTTCTCCAGACAATAACTGTGTCAGAGATTGCTTTTGTCCAGAATATCGAGTCCTCCATGTGTTGCACAAAGTGCTCGAGAAAGGTTCTTCAATCAACAAATTCCAAAATAGTCCACTGTGACAGATGCGGTTGTACAATGAGGATTGGTGACTGCAAAACACAGGTTTGTGCAAAAGTTGAAGTTCATCCCTCGCCAGGTGAGCAGATCAATTTAACGATCTTTCAAGCTAATTTGCAGACCGTTATTGAACGTGATGTTGCTCATTTAAGCCAAGAAGAAATTTCCATGTCCTTATTGTACTTTGAAAATTTGGAAATAACATATAACACAAAGACTTTTGTTGTTACCAAGTTACTTCTAAAAAAAGAGTAAACATCAAATGCAAAGAATGCTAAAACATTTCTTGAACATACTTTAGTATAGCATAAAATGTTGTTGTTACTATTATACCAATAACGTATTCCCTTTATTGGACATTTCTTGATATTTTCACCATAAACATTGGCTATGTGAACTAGCTATGGGGTATTCTAAGACCGCTTAAATTGTTGTGTTGTTTAACAGTTTATATAATTGGTTTTTATTGCATGTTCTGGCAGAAATACATCTGTATGCCTAAAGTGATGTACTTTTCATGTAAATCAATATAATTGTGTTTTATTGTTGCATTTTGTTATGCATGTTTCTATAAACATTCAAGAAATCAAGTTTGTTATTAGAAGTTGCATCAGATTTCTTTTGAATATTTATTGCTTATGCATAATTTTTTCATGTACAGTATATTATTAATATGTAATAGTAGTATGGTTTCTTGTTCAATTTGGAAAAACATGGTACCAAGTATTTCAAAAACTCACTTGTGCATGTTTTTCTAAATTGCTCTCAAAACCATGCTCTATATATTAACTTATACAAACATGTACATTCATTTATTGGTTACTTCCAGTAAACTATAAATTAGCTTGGGAATTGACTCAACCAAGCAACTAAGATAAGTAAAAGTTACTGAAAAACTGTGCAAAAATTTAAATGGTTTAAGTTATCAGACTTTGAGCAATTTTTTTTTACAATTGGAAGACATGTGCATGCTATATGTGCACTTTGCACACAATTTGATCTTTGAAGAAAGAGGCTTGTTTCAGAATTGAAATTCTGAGACAGAGTGTATTTTTCGTCACATAAAGTTACTTTTTCTACACATAAATAGAGGGTCGTATTTAGTGAAGCACATTTCTCCCACTTACAGTATCACTTTATTTGTTATTACAAATCCCACCAACTGACTCCAAAAGAGACCTGCAGAGAGTTGCGCATGTTAATATTACAACTGTCTGCCAATGTCTCTTGAAACATATAACATCTTCTCTATATCGGTCCCCAGCAATATACGAGAAACTGACCCATAACCTCAGACAGGAGCAAATATCATGTAATGTAGGAGAGAGAAATTAGGTCTTGACACCTAACTGTTCAGTCAATACCATACTTGAATCCATAGCTTGAATCCTTGAATACCTTCTAGTGCTTCCATTTTCAAAAAATTTCTTTCCCAACAAAAATTTCTTTTTTCCTTTTAAAATTTCCTTATCTAGGACAAAATTTCCTTATCTAGGACAAAATTTCTTTCTAGTAAAATTAATGAACTTTAGCAGAACATTCTAGATTCATAGGCGTTGAAAGATCGATAAGTGGGGGGGGGGCATATTCACATATTTGTGTTCTGCATTGTTAATTTCTTTTGAAATTGATTGTTTTTAAGGTCTGTGAACATGAATATATTAATATGGTCCCCCCCACTTATCGATCTTTCGATGCCTATGTCTAGATTAAAAACGACATTATATTATTTTGTCTCGAGTAACAATGTATTTCTTGGGTTGTCAGAAGGTGTCTGGGGCCTTCCCTGAAAATTGTCCAGTGAATCATTTAATGCATTTTTGAAACAAATTTTTTTGGAAATTGCTGTATTCTTAGGATTTTTCCATTGAACTAAATACAAATTAAGGCAATTTCCTTCTTATTTTGTTCCTGGGAGCAAAATTTCCTCCCAAATGCTTTAACTTCCAAATTTCCTAGCCTTTCAAAGGTTTGGAAAGGTCAAAAAGGTCAAAATATTAAAAAAATCAATATATCAGTGTTAGTTTTTATTCTTATGGATGGAAAAGTAAGCTAGATAAACAAAAGAATATCTAAGCAGCCAGTGGCGAAGCCACGGTGGGGACTGAGTCGGACAAGTCTCCCACCCTCCTTTAGGACCACCTTTGAGAGATGTTTGGGGGGGGGGACATGTGCACAAATTATAACGTCCGAATTTAGGCAAATTTGTCACAACTTTAATAAATTAGACATAAATTAATAAAATAAAGAACTCTGCAAGTGTACAGGATATTTGTTGTCCAAATATGATAGGAGCGGGTCGCGAACATCGGTATTTTTTCAAGGGCAACAATGCTTTATATCTTGATGGAGCAATGAAAGTGTTTATATCATTAATATCAATGCTCGGTTAGGATTTAGAGTCAGGATTTGGGTTAAGTGTTAAATTAGTTAAATACTGAAATATATGTGCAGTGCGATGTTAAACAGTATTATAATATAGATTTGTAAATTCTGAACGCTGATTGGCTAAGAGCCGTGTTGATATAACTCTATGTCAACACGGAAACGTCGGAAAATTTCTTTCTTTATATTTCTTTGTGCTATATTATAAAAAAAATATAAAACATTTTTTCCGTATTGATATACAGTTATATCAACACGGAAAATGTTTTATATTTGTTAAATATTCAACAGTGGTACAGCACGTGTCAAGCATGTTGCGTAAATTGAATGCAATTGGGTCGATAAATATAGAAAATGAGTAAGATGTCAAAGATTAGTCTAAACAAGGTCAAACAACACCGCACGTGCACAGCACACTGCCAATATTCAATGTGATAGGCTAGTTTCTCGATTACGATAACAGTAAAATATTGCATCAGAATTCAGAATGCTTTTTAAGATTTATATGCAAGCAGCTTCTGTTGTGTCTATTTGCTTTTTTTTGACACAAGATGAAGTTTAAACATTGCGAAATTAGCAAAAATCTCTTGACTCGTCAGAGGGCTGTATTTAAAAGCAAAAGACGAGGAGAAAGCCAACGTGCTATCGACAATCGCTTGACTTGCCAGCGAGCCTTATGTAATCGAGGAAAAAGGCAAGGAGATTACCAGCGTGTTATCGACACAGACCTTGTTCACGGGTCTAGCACAACGGTGCAAAATCGTGTTCAATTGAGAGAGAAACTATCGAGAACTTATCAAGAATCCATCGAGAACTTATTAGAAACTATCGAGAACTTATCTGAAACTAGCGTAACTTTATATGACAAACAATTAGCCACATGTGCAACGCTTGTTTGTGTACATGAAAGTCAAGATGACTTTGGCAATATAAAGTCAAAGGTCAATGAGACTTCTCACAATCATTTCATTACTTCACCACCAGAAAGCAATCATACAATTTATGCAAATATACAAAGTCGACGGTTATTTACATTATCAGTACAAACTCAGTGTGTTGCGTTCAGTCGAAGTAGATCACGAACAAGAAGCCATTTAATACATGCGAAAATGCGTGATCGAGAACCATCTAGAATTCCAATGAAAAAGTTGGTTCATTTAATGAGCAAAAACAAGAAAAGAAGGCGTAAAATAAAAAGCTTAATAAAGCAGTTAATTCCTAAGTCATCGTCTTGGCACAATTTGCTGTCTACCAGATACCGTAAACATGTCATTCAGAAAGACAGAAATGCAAACATGTGGCGATTTAGGAAGCTATATAGTGCTATAAAAAAAATACAAAACCTCGCAAAGAAAAAAACTGTGAAGGGAAGTTTGAAAATTACTAATAAGCGTACTTGCAGAACAAGAAAACACAAATTGTTTAAATTAAATAACGTTAAAATTCTAAACTCAAATAAATGTAACACGCAAAGAATAAAAACAACTGACAAGCGTTTCTTATTTTTATGTGGTGATATTGAGCTAAATCCAGGTCCCTTAAATGCTTTAAATAGATGCATGTCAATTTTGACTGCAAGACTAGCTCACATAGCACGAAGGCCAGTAAATATTGTCGGTGATGGTAATTGCTTCTTTCGTACTGTAAGCCACCGACTTTATGGAACAGAAGATCGTCATATATGCACAAATACGAGCTCTTGCAATTCAACATTTAATAAACTGTCCAGAACATTTCGTGGAATATAATACTGATCAATCGTGGTTGCATTATTTACAGAATATGTCACGATTAGGTACATGGGCAGATCATATTATTATACAGTCAGTTGCTAATATAAACAACTTACGAATTCATATCACGGAAAGTGCATCAAATTTTTCTGAGTCAACAGTAGTAAGCTCTGTTTATGCTGAGTCTGGGGGGAACGTAAGAGATATTTACATCGGACATCTTGATGAATTGCATTATGTGTCAACTGCGCCTATCGTACAGTCTGCACAAATAAATCAGATAACAAGTGATAAACCAAAAGCAAAGTCACCAAATTTACAATCTAATAAAACTATTTCAAAAGAAACTGCCTCAATGAAAAACTTGGAAGAAAGGAAAGAATATATGAAAAAATATATGAAAGAAAGAAGAAAGGATAGCAAATTTTAAAAAAAAGAAATTGGAAGAAAAAAGTTGTATAATAAAAACTACAAAAATTCAAATCCTGATAAAGTTAAGGAATCTTGGCAAAAAGCCTCTGAAACATACAGAAAATCAAATCCTGAAAAGGTAAAGCAATCATCTAAGGCGGCCACTGCAACTTACATGCATGCTAATCTTGAGAAAGTTAAAGAATCTAGAAAGAGAGGGACAGCGTTATACAGAAAATCAAATCCTGAAAAAGTAAGACAATCATCTAAGGCAGCCACTGCAACTTACAGAAAATCAAATCCTGAAAAGGTTAAAAAATCTTATATCAAAGCCACTGCCACATACCGGCAGTCAAATCCAGAAAAAGTTGCAGAATCATTTAAGAGTGAATGTCAGTAAAAATCGAATATATGAGATATTTCGCGGCCACGACTGAAAAATCGATTTTGCTCAAATTTTGCCCAGATATACCTTATTATATCGGAAAATGCACCATATATTTTTGTAGGCCAAATGCTTTTTTAACTTTGAGAAAATGCCGTCTTAACACGACCACCCTAAATCGCCATTTTGTCTGGGAAAATATGCGCTGAGTTTACCGACAAATTTCACGACGACAACCGTTTATAATCAATCTAAAACCCAAAAAATCTTGTTTTCGGTTATTCAAAGGACCGGATACGTGACTTACAAGAAATCTGAGTTACTTTTAGGAATAGAAATAATCGTAGTTTTGGAGCACACTATCTTATTTCATTTACGATACCCTCTTAACAAAACCGATTTTCACCATGGGATAAAGCTCCAAATCGATCATGCTTCTACTAGTTGGCTCTTTAATAAACAAGCTTTCAATTGACGTAAATACTTCTTTGGGCAAAGGAATACGCGATAAACGACAGCGCGCTGAAATCGTCCGTTTTTGACGTCTTGCAAGCAAACGCTGTTAATTTACATACCGTCGAAGTAAACAATTTAATTAATCACAAGTATTCTAAGTATTTTACATTTTGAGAAGAAGTTATATTCTTGAATGGAGACTTTTTGCCTTG